AAAAAACAATCGATTATTTTCGCAATAAAATTTAATGAAATTTCAATTATTTAAAAACTTTTTAATTAAAAAATTTGGAAAATTTAATTATCTTATAGAAAAATTAATCAAAAATAAATGTTATAATTTGCATTTCATACCAAAAAAATAGCTTATTTTGTTGGAATATTAAAAAGAAAAGTTTCAAAAAAAGTCGCTTTTTCTAAAAATTGTCAAAAAAAGTCTTCGTTTCTAAAGTTTTGAAAATTCAAATGAACGTCAATATTTTTAGTACTTTTGTTAATTTGTCTTTTCCTATAAAAAATTATTTTGTAAATTAAAAAAATTGTTTAGTAACCAAAACTTAAATTTACATTATTTTTTACTAAAGTTAATAAAAAAAAAAAAAATTAAACAAAGTTACATACCAAGAAATTCTTTTTGCAAATAAAAAAACTATTTCATTTAATAAAGCCTCAGAAACTACAAACTTTTTTTCCTAAATCACTCATCAACTTTAAATTATTGCGAAGAAAAGAAAACAAATAAAGAAAAAGATTTGCTATTTTAACATAAATTTTATTTTTAAATTAGAAAATATATAAAATTCCAAAATTCATTGCGGGATTATTTTTGTGTTAAATATACAAAAGAAACTCATTTCACGATATTTTCTCTCAATATAAAAAGTGAATAATTACAGTTTATGTATTAAATAAACCACACAAGTGTTAATAAATTAAAAGAACAAATATCTACATATATATTTATTTCCAGTGATTACGTAATAAAAAGAAAAATATATTATAATCTACACAAGAAAAATTCACGTGGAGAAATTTATCCCCGAAAGATTAAGATGAGACAAAAATTTTTATGTGCATGGGAAAACCTTGAAGGGTCTTTCTTTTCTGATTACACATATAAAAATAAAATATAAAATATATGCGAAGGGTCATTTGAAAAGCCAAGTATATAATTCGTATATAGACCCAAATCAAGATATTAGTCAACGAAAAAAAAAAGTCACGGTCGTGCATGACATGTGGTTTAAAACAAAACTCCTTCTTTAGGAACATATACATATACACATATATATATCGTTTAGAAGGGTCGAAGACCTGGTATATTTCTTATTGCGTATTTTCCATCTTTGTACTATTTACGCATCACCTTTTTTTACAAACTCAAACACAGAAACACACAGACACAAACACACCTTCACGTCGGAAACAGGAAACTGTCTTGTGTCTAATATATATATATAAACTGGTATTAAAACTACTGATTCGGAATATAAAAGAAAATTTGTGTGTTTTGAGCACGTGTAGAGGAATGGAACGAAATTAAATGAATCGAATAAAATATTTTCAATTTGAAGGTTACACACTATTAATCCCTCTCTCATATATTTAATTATCCGAAACGATTTGATATGAATAGATTACAAATACCCATTTATTTAAGAAAATCATTTTTGATACGAAATTTCATCATTCATAAACGTGGAGACTAAAAAAGATTACTGCTTAGAGAAGACAAAGAAATTTTTTTAATTAATTTTTTATATTTTTCACATATATTCTTCTTTTAATTACATAACAAAGAATCGAGTTTTTTTTATTTTTTTTTCTTAATGATTTAATCATTTTTCTGAACGATTATAACTGACAATATTTTTTTAATTTGCTATTTTACATTATTATTATTATTATTATGTTATTTTTTGTTTTTTCATTATTCGCAAGAATGCAATTATTAATGTAAAAAGTTTTTTTTTTGCAGGAATTCAATTATATTAAAAGTTTTTAATAAAACTCTTCCTAGGGATTCAATTATTCTTAACGTTCTTTATACAATTCTTTGAAACAATTCAATTATTATTATTCAAAAATTTAAATAAAATCATCACAAAAATGGCATTATTTTCAAAAAAATAAAAATTCCTTCAGGAAATTGAATTATTGGCAAAAATTACAAAAAATTTGTTTGCAAGAATTAAATTATTTTTAACAATATATATATATATTTCTTTAAAACAATTCAATTATATTCAACAATATTAATAATACTCTTCACTAGAATTGGTGTAATTTTCAACTTTTAGAAAATTGAATTATTATTTTATAAATAATAAAATTCTTTACAAGAATTAAATTATTTTAAAAAATAATAATATTGTTCGCAATTGTACAATTGCGAATACAATTTTAATTGAAATACTCGAAAAATTTATTTATTTTCAATAATTAAAATTTTTTTTGAAAAAATTCTATAGTGTAATTAAAATTCTATACAAGTATCAAATTATTTTCATAAACAATAAAATTTTTTAGCAAAAATTGAATCATTTTCATAAACAATAAAATTTATGCAACAATTGAAATAATTTTAAGAATTGTAATAAAATTCTTCTTAAGAATTGAAATTTATTCAAAAATTTTGTAAAACTATTTGAAAATAATTGAATTGTGATTTAATTAATTTTCATAAATAAAAAAATTCTTCTCAATATTCAATTATTTTGTTTACAATTTTAATTTTTATAAATAATGTAATTATTTAATAAATATGTTTAATAAAAACTCTACGAAAAAGTTCAATTATTTATAAAAGTAACAAAATTCTTGGACAGAATTCAATTATTTTTATAAAAACTAAAATTCTTTGTCAGAATTTAAATATTTCCACACAAATAATAAAATTCTCTCCAAAATTCAATTTTCATTATTTCTAGAAAGAATTGAAATATTTTTATAAATTTGAGTAGAATTCTTTGATACAAATCAATTATTTTTTTAAATTTTGATAAAATTCTCCCCAAAAATTTAATTATCTTTAATATAATTTCAATTAAATTCTTCAAGACCATTTCATTATTTTTTAAAAATTTAATAACATTCTACCTATGCAGTAATTATTTTAAATTGAAAATTATGATTTTTAATTCATTACAATTTTGTTCAATTAATTTTTTATTATTTAATTTTCTAAACATGGAATTAGAATTTAATTAATTAAAAAATTCAAAATACATAAAAAGAAAAATTATAAAAAAAAAATTAGAAATTAAAAAAGCAAAGTGAAACAGCTAACCATAAACTGCGAACAAACATCAGGAATGCGATTATTAATTATTTACTTGAATCAAATAATTTTTATCTGAGTTAATTAAATGGTATATTTGCTTCAATTACTGAAATTATTGATTCAAATAACATTTAATTCATTAAAATAAAAATTATTTGTGTCAAGTAAATATTTATTTGATAATAGATAAGTAATCGGTTATTTGAATCAAATAATTTTTTTTTCATTGTATTTATAAGCAAGTACGACTTTAAAGCGAGAATACTGTAAAAAAATATTGAATTCCATAAAGGGGGAAAAAATCTCCCTTTTCCTTTAACGAATATAGAAAAAAGGAGTGAAATTTTTCATTAAAAATATTAAATTGAGTTGGTTCTCACGAAATCAAATTGCGATTGTTTTTTTTACAAATGCGTATCACGTATATACACGAGCCATTTGCTAGTATAACGTTAAAACTACTCTGAATTCAAGGACTCGTACTCGTGTTACTTTGTACACATATAGTTTTACGCTTGAACCCGAACTATGAACGAATTAACTTTACAACTTGTCACATGATCGCGTAAAATGTTTTCAACAGAGACCTTCTTTCTTCCGATCTTACGATTAAACAACAAAAAAATAAAACTAGGCTATGACATTCATTAATAAAAGTACTATAAAGCAAGAAATAAAATTTTTTTTCTTTTTTTCCGCCCTCATTTTTATCTAATCCACATGAAGAAATATTTATGAATTTTTTTCCATAAAAATAAATAAATAAATAAATAAAAATATTGTGGAAAGTTTAACTTGTAAAATAAAAACAATTATTATATACTTTTGGTTGAAATCTCTTTTGCTAAGTATTTTATCTAAGAGAAGGAGAGAGAAAGAGAGAAAAAAGAAAATAAAAGGCCAATTGACAGAACATATATTCATATATGTCAATCGATTTAGCAGGAAGTTCTTCCGCTCTTCTCGTGTGTGTCTTTGTCTTTATATTATAGACAAAGAAGGAAATAATTTAAAACGAAGGACACGTTTTTGAATTACTAAACAACCCTCTCTTCGTATGGCGTCGAACGATAAGATTAAAAAGTCTGCTGAAAAATACAAATCTATTAAGATTCTTAATTTACAATATAACTCCTTCCGGCCCACCACATGATTCACATTAACAAAAATATTTAGCATATATTTGAATCGAGAACAAAAAGATAAGTGCGAGTTTCAATTAAGATGCTGCTGCGAGAAATGAGCGATTATTTACAAAGGGGAAAAATAATATTCTCGACACAGATCCACTTTTTTCGAGAACAGAACGTTATTAAGCAAAAGCAAAACTAGCGAAATTTTCGAACAAAAAAATTGTGGAATATTTCAAAGCAACGAGAAAATACTTCAGGCTAAATAATAATTTTATATCTGAAGTACTTTTCCCAATCAATAATCAGTGTTAATTCAATTTTCTAAAAGCGGAAAAATTGTTAAAATTTCTATAGCAACATATTTAGAGGTTATGTTAACATAACTTTGTTAACAATCGATGTTTTTTCGGTAAATTCTCAAAAAAGTGAAGACTAAATTTACAGAAATATATCCAAAAGACTAAAGAACTTTTTCTCTAATAGAAAAGCAAAGAAAGAAAATCCGAAAATTGCAAAAATCTATCTCAAGGTCATAATTTTTGCACAAGGAATTTTCAGCGGAAAAATTTACTCTTGATCGTTTTAAAATTTTTCCATGCAAGCAAAAAACAAGCAGAAATAATAATTAGAATAATTAATTTTTCCATTATAATGTATATTTACATCACGCAAGAAAAATAAAAACATAGAAGTTAAAAATTGTCGACCTCGTGGTGTCAATAATAATACACAGTGCGACAGTGCATTTCAACTTGCTCTTTTTTTTTAATGATATTAATAGAATATTATAAAACATACCTGCATACTATCAGCTGAAATAATTTCCCCGGCAAATTTCTGTGCAAGTTCTATACTTAATTTCGTTTTTCCCGAACCAGTAGCACCAAGAATCACAAGAATTGGAACACGCGACATTTCTTTCTCACAATAGTCCGCCATTACTGTTATGAGTTGCGGACGCGCATGCGCGCAGTGCTACACCAGTCACGTGACCATTGCGCGCACTCGTATTTAAATTCAAAAAGGAGAGAAAAAAAAACAAACTTCCATTAAAATTAATCAATAATTCAAATAGTTCTTTTTTAAAATTATTTTATTTAATTATTCACTAAGTATTTAAAATTTTACGAGTTTTCGAAACATTTTATATTTTTTTGGATTCAATCGAATGAACATTAAAATGTATTTATATTTTTAGAATAATAATAATGATGATAAAAGTAATAAAAATACTAATAATTATATTAATAATTTAATAATTATAATAATAATAATAAAAGTAGGTAATAATAATTATTTATTTATTTAGTAATTATTAAGGGTTTATTTAATACTATTTTTAATAATAATAGTACCTAATAATACTTATTATTATTAATCTTATTATTATTATTATTATTTAAATATATTTTTTATTATATTTTATTTTATTATATTATAAAAAATAATATTAATAAAAATAATTTTTGGAAATTAAAATTAAATAATATAATTAAATATAATTAAATAGTAATTAAATTTTTTCCATTATGATGATTACTAAAAAAATCATTATTATTTTTTTATTTTTTTTATTTACAACAAATAATAAACAATTAATTTATTGTGTTTTTTTTTTTGATAAATTGCTATTTAAACAGTTAAAAAATCGAAAATTTGTAATTATTTAAAAATAAAAATATAATGCATAAAGGAATGAAAATAAATATTGAAAAAAAAAACAAAAAAAAATTTCTCCTTTGTAGACAAAAAGTTCTCTGGCATATGTCATTTTTTCTTGCAAATACACTTATGAAAATTAATGTTAAAAGTAAATACAAGACTAGCTGCTTAGCCTTGGTAGATTTCAATATTTTAAAGGTACTTATGATTAGACAAAAACTATAATGCAAATTGTTGTTTGTTTATTCTTTATTAACAATTTTTTTTTCTATTCTAATTCTAATTTTTTAAATATTTTTTTTCGAATTTTTTTCTATTTTTAAAAATACAAACAACATTATTCGAGATTATTTTATTTATTTTTAATTATTAATTTATTAATATTATTTATTATATTTTATTATTAACAATATTATTATTTTCATTATTTTTATCTGTGGAATAAAAATAATATTTGAAACCTTTCTTTTATTTCTCTCTCACTATTTATATTACAAAACAAAAAATAATAATAATTATAATATTATTATTATAGTAATAATAATAATTATAATAAAAATAATCAAAGCTACTAATAAGATTAATAATAATTTTAATAATTATATTTTTAAACAATTTTAAATAATTTAAATAAAATTTTAAGCAATTTAAATATATTAGTTGAAAAAAAAATAAATTTAAATAAAAAAATAAAATTGAAGCAATTAAACAAATATAAAATAAATTTATTTGTTCATTAATTAATTAATTAATTAATTCTCATTATTTTTCAATTTAAAAGCAAAATTTGATAATACATTAATAATTTACTACATTTTAATTTGATAAGCAGTAAAAAAAAAATTAAGATTCTTTTATTGAAATTGTCTTTTAATTTAAGTATATCATGAAATTTGCATTTAAAATCATTTCTGGTCACAACCTTAAAAAATTGTTGGCTATTAATAAAGGAAAATAATTTCTATGACTCATTTTGTAATCTCAATTTAAGAAGCTTACATTAGTCAAGATCAATTCAAAGAAACAGACTCATTGCAAATTTTTATTTCATGACACAGCGCTTATATTAATATTAGAAAAAAAAGTTCTTTCGTTAATTGACAAAAAAAAAACAAAAATTTACTGAAATTTACATATTTTTTTTTTTAAATTAATTTTAAATTAAGTTAACTATTTTGATTGATTTGCTTCGTTGATTAATTAATGAACTAAGTAATTTATTAACTAAATAATTAATGAACTGATTGTTTGACTATTTTTTATTGATTTTCTAAATTTATAATAATTAAATAAACAAAAATTAAGAAATAAAAAAATATTTCGTACAATAAAATATTGTATCTACATTAAAAAAATTAATTAAATGACAAAAAATGAACGAACAGAAAAAAAAATGTTAATAATTTTAATAGAATTTAATAATAAATTAATATTATTATAATAATTATTATATTTTTTATTATATAATTTATATTTAATATAATAAATTTAAAAATAAATTAATTAATAATAATTTATTTAAAGATAAATTTAAATAAATTTGGAGTTAACAAAATTTTTAATAAATAAAAAAAGGAAGAGGATTAAAGAAAAAGGTGAAAAGAACACATCAAAAATTAAATGATACATCTTTTATTTATATATTCATATAAATATATATAATACATAAATAAGTATACATAAATTTTTCTATGTATGTATATATATTTATACACTAAAAATATAAGATATTTTGAATTATAAACGTCAAGGAACTGTTTGAGCCATACAAAAAAGAAACGACGTCTAAAGATACAATATTCTTCAAATCTTTTTCATATCAAAAATTCGTGGCAACTTTTTTTTTCTTTAATTATTATATATAAAAAAAACGAGAGAAAAAAGGATATTTAAATGTCCACTGCACCAACCAAAATGATCAACGACTACATATATCTATATATATTTATATTTTTTTTTTCCTTAATTATATTATACAATCACATATTATAATATATATAAATGTTTTCGAAACATAAAAAAGTATATAGGGATGAAAAAAATCAGTCGTTGATTATTTAGGGGGGGAAAGCATTATTAACAACCGTAAAACTTAAGTACAACAAAAATGCTAGCTTCTTTTTTTAATAATTTTTTTTTCCATTTTTTTTACCTTTTTTTTCAAAATTTTATTACAAACAAGCGCGTTCTTTTCCTGTACAATATAATAAATGTATAAATATTACTTCTAGCAATTAGTTTTAACTTTCTGGTATAAACATTATTTTTCTTCATCAATTAAATTCTATACGTTTTTTTGTGTGTGTGTGTGTCTGTTTTTTTCGCGTATTATAATTCAACCACTCATAGCAATGTTTTATTTTTTTTTTATTTTCCTATTATAGCTGAGAAAAAAAAAAATTTTTGTTTATAAACTCTTAAATAAGCAAGTGCTGTGAGAAGTGCGATCGAAAAAAAAAGAATCGTCGTGTAAAAATCATTCAGAGCAAAATAAAATCTGAACAAGCGTATCACAAAAACATAATTATTATTACAAAAGAAAAGTCAACATTTTAAATTTTATATGAATATTCTTTATATATTGTATATTATATATAAATATATAAAAAATATTTATATATACACAAATATATGAGTAAATATTTCAAATATTTTGCATAATTTTTTGTTTATTTTCAATTTTTTGAAAAAAGTTTTTCTTCCTGAAAAATCTAATTTTCTGTATTCTTTTTTTTCCACTATTTTTTTTTTTTAAACAAGTTTTCCCTCTCTATAAATTTTTTTTACAAATATTTTTTTTGAACTCAGGCTTCGTCCTGAAAACGTATAAAAATAAAATGAAGAATACAAATATTGTTTCTACTCTTAATAATTATTAAAAAAAAAAAAAATCCCTAACATTACGTAAACAATATGTTAATCTAATTCTTTATTATTATATTTTAATGAAACATTTCTTTGAAATAAATTCAATCACACGTACAAGCGTTCAAAAATTTTCTTTTTCCACTCAAGAGAAAAACACTTTTTTTTGTTATCCTTTAAATAACAAGTGCTTTTGTTTTCCTAATTATTTTTTTCTTCAAATAAAAATTCCTTCAATTTGAGTTAATTTCCTGTATATATATATAAATATTACATATGTAAATAAAAGATCAAAAAAAAAAAATTGAGAATTACATTTTAATGCACCTGAAAAATCGATGAAATGACAAAAAAAAGTTGAGGAAGAATTGAATTTTATTTTTTTTTTTCGTAAAAAATATCAAATTCCTATAGTTAAATTTTTTTTCATTTCGAAATGCAATAAATAATTATTATTTAAAGTTTCTGTTTTTTCATGAATTTTCAAATGACATTAAATTAATAACTGTAGTGTCTGGCAGGTACGATTTTTTTTTTTTTTTGCAATGAAACGCGATTCTCGAATATCTAATAAATTAGTTGTATTAAAATGTAAATATTTTGTGCTACAGTATTTTATGCGATAATTTTTATTAAAAAAAAAAATTCTGCGTAAAATGAATTAAAAACAGGAAAAAAACAACCTGATTCAGGTTTTTATTATTTTGTCACTCACAAAAAGTAAGAACCCAAAAGTTTATTAAAAATAATTGAAAATTCACGTTTCATTGTTAAGAAAGAAGGTTTTTTTTTTTTTTTTTTTTTAATCATCGATCTCAATTATAATTTATAAGTCATTGATCTCATATTGAAATTGGAGGAAAATCCTCTTTTTGGAGTTTCAGAAACAAGAAAAGCATAGAGAAAACTATATAAATATTCATAATTTGGATTTTTAATAAATTTCAATTATATCAATAATTTTTCTTTTCCAAATATCACAAGTTTATTTTTTTTTTCCTTCGTAAATTATTATTATCATCATAATCAGTAATCATCTAAAAATAGAAAATTATTTTTCTTGATTGAAACTGTCCCCATTTTCACTTGATTAAAAAAACTAAAAAAAAAAAAAAATAGCAAAATATTTCGAATAAAAATTTTAATTTTTGAAAATAAGGACTTTTCACTTCCTCCAATTTTTTTTTTTTAATTTCTCGTGTAGAAAAAATATATATAGGGTCAGTATCATAAAAAAATTTGGTAATTTTTAAACATTAATATATTATTATTTTATAATAATATCCATTTACTATTATGAATTTATTTCAGATATAAAAATTTTTTTTTTACACTGAAATAATAATAGTAAATAATTAAAAATTTTCCCATTCACTAAAATACCAAATTTATTGTTTACATCGTTATTTTGTAAAAAGAAAATGAAAAATTACGAAAATTCAATTTTCCATTTTTTGTTAAAACCTGTTTTCTTAATATTTTTTTTTAGTCGAGGGGATTTATACAAAATAACATTATAAACAATCGATTTTTTTTTTTCTAAAAAAATGATACTGTACCCAAAAAATATGGCAAATGATAAATTCATATTAAATTGTCATGAATTTCAAAAAAGTGTATGAAAATAATTTAAAAAAAAAACATATTTTTTTTATCAATGAAAAATTTTAATTATAAAAAGAATTGTGATTATACATGTATATAATATATAATATGAAAATGACAAAAAAAAAATTCTATATAAAAAAATTACAATAAGGGAATGTGTAAATTTTGATTATGACTTTGGTATAATATATAAAAAAATTTTTTTTTCATTCCTCAAAAATTTTCTTGCAGTAAGAATAATTGAAGAAAAAGGGGATTTTTTTTGGGGGGGGGGGGCAAGCGGGGTTTCGCGGAAATGTTAAAAGATATGAAACGGTCATATAAATCTTGTTTCCCGGTTATAAATTTTTTCTTTCATTTTTTTGAATTTTTCTTTTTTCTTTCATATTTTCTTTTATTTTTCTTTCACTTTTCCCTTCATTGCTTCTTTCATTTTTTCCTTTACTTTTTTTCTTCCATTATTATTTTTTTTGAATTACTCTTTTTCTATGAAAGTGCCTTTCGTTGTTAATTATTTACTAGCGTTTCTATCAATTTTACTAAACTGTATAAAATATAATATCTATATATGAAGCACTTCAGTTACTGTTCAGGTCTTAGGCTTTTGTCAGTTAAATCTTAGTTTTTAAAATTTATACCTATTTTTTATGTTTGTTTATTTTTTCTTTTCTTTTTTTTTTTTTGTTGAAAAAATCGTGTACGCGAAAAATCTCACGCTGATACTCTTGCACTCTTATTATTTTCCACTGCACACATCGCCACTCAACTATAGTCGCGCGCATTTAATCCATCAATTTTTTACTTTCATTCATTTGTGTTCTCCATCGAATTTTTTTTTCTTCTGTGTCTGTGTTTTTTTTTATATATTAATATACGGCTGGATAAATATTTTTTTCAGTGAAATTCTGTATTTTTTCGTTCATAATATTCAAAATCATAATAAAAATATTTCTATTAAAAATATTAATATTAAAAATATTTCTATTAAAAATATTAATATTAAAAATATTTTTATTAAAAATAACAATACAGTGAATATTATAAATATTATACTGAAAAAATTCAAATGAAACACTTGAACCATTTTTAATAATAAAAAAATTTCTTGAATCGAATAAATATCTCAAAAGTCAACTTCCTATTATAGTCAACTTCCTATAATTATAATGCATAATTAATTAAATGTGACATATAATTAATTCTAATTATATCGTGTAGATTTATAAAGAAATAAAAAAATCCACCAAATTTCTGGAATTCAAAAAAAAAGACAGAATTCGAGAAAATTTTAATCACATGAAAAGAAAGATTTATTTCGATTCAAGAAAAATTTACTAGAAACAAATTTTTTCATTTTTTTACACTATTCAATTGTTACGCAACTATTTGACTGATAAAAATTTTTTTCCAGTATTTGTGACTAAAAAAACTTCAATTTTTTTTTTTTTACTGAAAAACAACTTGGATTAAAAATTGAATACTGCTGTCTATAAAAGTAATGAACACATTTTTTTTTTTTTTGCTACTCTTTCTCTCTTAGCCGCATTCATTCTCGATTTATTCCGTAAAGCTTTACACATTCTCCTGTTTTCCCTTTCTTTTTTCATTTTTATCTCCTCCCTCTCTCGCACAGCACTTGCGATCACCTTATAGTTACATTTTTATAATATTTATATTTATATATATATTTATATACGTTGGTAATAAACCAATTTGATAAATTACCTAAAGTCGATACGCGCAATTTTTTAATTAAAGTTCGTTTTTATTTTGAAAAATTAAAAAAAATTATAAGTGCTGACAATAAAGTCGTATGTAAGAAACATCAATGCAATGGTATAATTAACTAAAATGATAATAACAATAATAATAATAATAATAATAATAATATTAATAATAATAATAATAACATTCAATAATCAATAACTATTTACTGATCAGCGAATGTGATACAATATATATATACTTTTTTTTTAATATATGTAGAAACTTATTTACAAGCACGTGTATCAAAAAACTCTATATATACACAATGTATACACGTCAAATCGTATCAAAAAAAAAGTCACGAAAGAATATCGATGTAAAAAATTTTATATTCTAATTTTTTTTTTCCATAAATCAATATTTTTACGTGTCCAATTTTTTTTTATCACTAGACCAGGGATTTAAAATGAATGATATATATATTTTTCTCTAATATTAGTAAAAAAAAAAATAAAAAAAAATAGAAAATTATGTAAATATACCAAAGAAATAAAAAATAATTGAAAATCGACTTTTTAAACTAATCACTTTGGTCCAGCCTACTGTTAAAAAAAAGAAATCACTCACCGATCTCCAAAGTCCAGTGAACAATTTTTTTTCTCTCTCTATTTCTCTCTTTCAAATTTCCAAAAAAAAAACTAAAAAACACAAAGGAATAAATTGAGAAATCAAAAAGTTACGAAAAAAAAGATAAAAAAAAACAAAACAAGATGCTCATTACGATTATAATATTATACCTATCTATCTGACTCACGCTTTTTCACTGTGTTTCGTTTCTTTTTTTCCCCTCTTTTTTCCCCTCTTTTTTCCTCTCTCTCTCTCTCTCACTCTCTCTATAATATGAAAACTATACATCTGTATACATATAAGCATGCAAATCGCACAGCGATTGCTTCGTACAAACAAACAGAAAAAAAAGAAGAAATTTGAAAAAGTCAAAAATTCCTTCTCGACTTTAAAGAAACGTAAACACAGCTCTTTTTCTTTCCTTTCCTTCAATTATTAAATACAAAATAATTCATTATCTATTTTGTACCTATCTACTTATGATATCAAGAGACAAATTTTTGTCGACACAACTTCGCGAATCAAATATATATATATATACGTTTATAGCGAAAGTTGATTTTTTTTTACAAAGTGTATCTCTTATTAGGCCTCGAACTACAAGAGGAAAATAAACAAAAAAAATATCCCCCTTTTGTCCTAATTTAATCGCGGAAAAATATTTATACTTCTCAGGACAAAGGGAGAAAACAAGGAAGCAATTCTTTTTTTCTTTTTTTTGTCAATTTTTCCCTTTTGGTACGAATTTTCAAAAAAATTTGAATACTGACAATGGTGGGAAGAAGAGAAAAAAGGCAATTTACCAAAATATTGTATAATCACAACTGAAAAAAAAAATCTGTCACTTTATCACTGTCAATATTCAAAATGTATTTTAAATTTATTTTCCCACTGGAAGAATTTTTATCGATCTTCAAAAGCATTAAGCAGAATTTTTTCCAATTGGAACAAAAAATTTGAATTCGTCAATATCAAAAATCTATTAAATTTATTTTTCCACTGAAAGAATTTTCATTCTCTCAAGTATTCTCAATTTTTCCAAATCAAAAGCATTTAGCAGCATTTTTTTTTCCAATTAAAGCAAAAAATTTGAATTAGAAATGTATTAAATTTATTTTTCCACTGAAAGAATTTTCATTCTCTTCAAGTATTCTCAATTTTTCCAAATCAAAAGCATTTAGCGGAATTTTTTTTTCCAATTGGAAATTGGCAAAAAATTTGCAATTCTTCATGAAATTTATTTTCCCACAGAAAGAATTTTTATTCCTTCATTCAAAATCAAAAGCATTTGGCGGAATATTATTTGCAATTGAAGCAAAAAAAGTTTCAATTCGTACGAGAGAAAAGAGATATCATAATTAAGGCAGGAAAAAAAACAAAAAATATAGAAAGAAATTCCTTTATATCTAAAAAATTTGATATACAAAATCTCGCCTCGTGGTCCAGCCACAAAAAAGAACAAGATTGATCTTAGCAAAAAAAATTGTGATTCCTGTACAAAAAAAAAAAAAAAGAAAAAATTTGGGTTCAGCAGTGTAACATCTGAACCACAGCCGTATATGATATTAAATGCTAAACACTAGAGAAGGGTTTTTTTTTTAATGGTGGAGGTGAAGGGGGGGGGGTGGGGGGAATTGAATCAACGTGCAACACGACATTCTCTTCGCAATTGAGAGACCCTGGCTAATAGCCTCTCCTGTTCTAATCGCAATTGATGGATCTCAAGATCCTGCTTGTAAAGCATATCACAGTAGGAAGCTGCCTGTCTCAATATTGAAACTTTGGGAGCTTTTTCATTGCTTTTAACACCTGGTACCATTAGTCTTAAATCCTCAAATGCTTTTCTCAGATCTATCCGCCTTTGTCTCTCCATATTATTATGTAAACTTCTCTTCTCAGTGTCTGGCTCTGAATCTGATGAACTTCTCGATGGTGGAATGCATTTGATTCCATTTGTTGGCGCAAGTGGAATATCATCGATGTCATTGTATTTGTTGCGCTTTTGATGTGATTTACTGCGTTTCGAACGTTTTGTCGTCTCGTTTGATGATGGCGATGATGAGGATGACGATGAGGATGTTGTCGTTGATGTTATTGAGGAGGTGGTGGTGGTTGTTGTTGATGATGGTGCAGAACGTTTACGGGCATTTGAGGCTAGTGGTGGACGACCACGTGGCCTCGACAATTTTTCTTTTAAAATTGTTTTCACCACTGTTGTTTGGAATTTCGATTCAACTTCTATACTTGGCATTGTGGGCAGGACAACTGTTTGTCTACAGGGCTTCTCATAGGACACCACGTCAATTTCTTCCTCTGTAACAAAAATAAAAGGGGTCGATTGCTCGATAAGTCTTGTACTCTGTTGTTTGGAAAACAATTTTTTTTTTATTTATTTGGAAATTTAATTATTTAGAAATTTTTGGAAATATATTTCAAGCGGTGTTCGATTTATTATTTGTTAGACATTTCACAAAATTATTTATGAACAACTTCCAATTCTTGAATATAATTTCAGATTCTAAATTTAAATTCACTTGTAATAATTAATTCACGAATTAATTATATAATTTTAATTATTTTTTATTTTCAAAAATTTCAATGAAATTTCTCGAAAGAATTTAATTATTTCCAAAAATAATAAAAATATTTGCGAACAATCACATATTTTTATAAATAAAAATCTTCGAAAGAATTCCACTATTTTCAAACATTTTAAACAAATTTTCGGAAAGAATTCAATTCTTTTCATAAATAATAAAAATCATTACAAAAAATCAATTATTTCCATCAATAATAAAAATATTTTTATAAATAAAATTCTTCGAATGAGTTTAATTATTTTCAAAAATAATAAAAATCTTTGTGAGAAATTCAATTATTTTCAATTATTTTCAACTCTTAATCAAATTCTCCGGAAGAATTGAATTATTTTCATAAATAATAAAAATCTTTGCAAAAATTCAATTATTTTCAAAACTTTTAATCAAATTCTCCGGAAGAATTGAATTATTTCCATAAATAATAAAAATCTTTCTAAAAATTCAATTACTTCCCAAAATAATAGAAATCTTTGCAAAAATTCAACTATTTTCATAAATAAAATTCTTCGAACGTATTCAATTATTTTCAAAAATTATTAATAATTTCCTTCCGAAAAATTCAATTATTTTCCTAAGTAATAAAAAATCTTTGCAAAAATTCAATTATTTTAATAAAAAAAATTCTTCGAACGAATTCAATAATTATTTTAAACAGAATTTTAATAAAATTGTTTAAAACAATTCAATTGTTTTCACAAAATAAAATAAAATTCTTCGAAAAAATCCAGTTATTTCCAATAAAATTTTAATTCAATTGTTTTGAAAAAATTTAATTAGGTATTTTCAAATATTTTAATAAAATTTGAATAAAATTATTCTTGAAAATTCAAGTATTTTTAAAACTTTTTGGAAAAATTCCTACGAAAGAATTCAATTAGTTTCAATAAAACTTTAATTAAATGTCTCGAAAACATTTAATTATTCTCAATTAGTTTAATAAAATTCTTCGTAACAATTCAATTATTTTCAATAAAAAATTTTAATTAAATTTCTCGTAAGAATTAAATTTTCACAAAATAAAATAAAATTCTTCGTCTATTCTCTTAATTCCAATACAATTCAGATTAAATTTTTTGAGAAAATTTATTTATTTTGAAACATTTTAATAAAATTTGAATAAAATCGAAACAATTTTCTTTAAAAGTTTCAATAAAATTATTAGCGGAAATTCGAGTATTTTAAAAAATTTTAATCACTTTTGTAAAAAAAAAATTGACTTATTTTTGAAAATTTTAATAAAATCGAAATAGTAATTCAATATTTTTTCAAAATTTTACAATTCTTCTCAGGAATTTAATTGTTTTCATAAATTTTGATAATTATTCTTAATAAGAATTTAATTATTTTCAATAAAAATTCAATTATTTTCAAAATATTTTTAATTGAATTCCTGAAATAATATTCAAATTATTTTCTATAATTTTGAAAAAACTAATTAAATTCTTTATAACATTTCAATTATTTTCACTACAATTTTAATTGAATTCCTCGATAGAATGCAATTATTTAAAAAATTTCTAATAAATTTGTTCGAATAATTTTAATTTCTTTTTTAAAACTTTAATAAAATTCTGTACAAGATTTTCATTAAATATTTCAAATTCACAATTACAGCATTTACAAAAATTTTATTATTTTTTTTTAAATGACACAGAAAATTATAGAACCAAAATTTTATTTTGAAGAAGAAATAAATAAATTTCGTCCCTTATTTGAACGTTTGGAACTTTAGAAAGTTAATTAAAAAAGTAGCAAAAATATCGTTCATTTAAACGTCCGAAAGTTTAGTTTCTTTTTAAAAAAAGTTTTTTAGCTGAATTAACAAAAATTTCATAAAAATAGATATTTGTTTTAAAAAAAAGATAAAAAGTAAAATTTTCTACGATCAAAGAAACGAAATTTACTGGACGGTTTTTTAAAATTCATGTTCTATTAAAATAATATTGCGTAACGTTTTAAAAAAATATTTCATAAATTATAAAAAATAATTCTATAATCAAAATTAAAAAAAGTTCCAAATTGTTCAAAGTAAATTTTTAATTTCTTGTTTCCATTCAGTAATTTAAAAAAAAAATTTCCCAAAGTCTAGTTTTCCTCATATCATACATTAAAGTTCTATAAATAAAATTCAATTCTTATTTGACAAAAAAATTTAAAGTTCTAATAGATAAACGTTTTTTGTTCCTTTTAAAGAAATCACTGAATAAATAATCTCAAATTCAATTTAACAGTTTTTATTATTAAAAAAAAAATTATTCACAATAATCCAAAAGGCCATTGGCCCCAGACATTTAATTAGGATAAATTCAATTCATATTTTAAATCATCCGCACCAAACAGGTGTTTTTCTTTGATATAAATTCTTAAAATTTAAAAATAAACTTCTAATAAATTCTTCTAAAAACTTTCCATTATAAGAGGAATTAGAATTACATGACTCTGATAATATTTAATGTGACAACAGTCATCACACACAGTGAAAAAAAAAATTATTATTTAACCAGCTGAACTTCCCTTTTATCTACCTTTTGAAAACGAGTGTAATACAAAAACTAAACTAAAATAAAATATAATGAAAAATAAAATAAAATACAAAAATCAAATGAAATATAATAAAAAAATAAAATATAATACAAAAATAAAATAAAATACAAACAAAAAATATAATAAAGAAATAAAATAAAATACAAAAATAAAATATAATAAAAATTAGAACATTTTCTAAAAATTTAATTAAACTAATCTAAAATATTTTTCTACTTCATCTATTTTCTATTTTTTCTTCTGTCAATTCTACTTTTCCTTCTTGTGTCTTTTATTTCACAAATTTCTTGAAAGTATCAAAATAATATCGAAGATCAAATTGATAGCAAAAATTTGAACCAAATTAGTGTTTGATCCATAGTTTTGGTATCAATTCCCCGCAATTCGATACTTTCTAGTTAACCCAGTGTCAACAACTATATTTAAAAAAAAAAAAAAAACTTTCGAGTTATTTGAGATGAAAGCGCAAAAAAAAACAAAATAGAGAAATTATGCAAATTTTTTTAAACTATATATTAAATTATATTATGAAGATGTGACTAAGTCAAGATATCGGAATTAATTTAAATGCTCGTATCCAATTTAGTGTGACGCGTGACGCATAAATCCATGCACATCTACTACTGGGAAAGTAAAAATATATGCGTGACCTTGAAAGTCCGTATGGCTCTTTAAGCCACGTGTCTACGCACAAGAGTTTCTCGTGTTATATGATATCGTGGGCGTTTCCGTAAATTAAACATGTGTGAGAAATCGCACACAACTTTCATAAATACATGTTGTGAATATAAGAAAATCGGTCATTGGACTTGCCGAGAGCAAAAGTCACACAATTCATCCCTTACCTCATTTCTTATTTCAATTCTAGACAATTATTACACTCACAAAAATTACATAATTCATCGTTTTATCAAAATGATAACAGAAAAAAAAACGAAAAAAATTATCAATTTCCCGAAATTGAGGAAAACATCAATCAATGATACGGATAAGATAAACTATTTATATATTTATATTAAAATATTATAATAGTAATTATAATTTTTTTAAATTATTATTTAAATATGAATTTTATTGTAGTTGATACTTTCTACAAAAATTTACCTTTGAATTTTATTTTTATTGAATTGCATATATATAATAAATTATAAAATAAAAATAGAAAATATTTTTGTTACGAATTCTTTTTTCTTTGCAATAATAATAAACAATTATTTTATTTGATACGTGTGTAAATAATAATAATAATAATTAATTAAATAATAATAAATAATAATAATAAATGATGCTGAGAAAATCTTATCAGAATAAAATGAGAATCTTGCTGAACTCACATTTTTCAAACTAGTTTTCAAAGACGCTCTCCATACAAATAATAAATTGTATCGTGAACTTTATGAATGACTTTACAAACGATTTAATCATTTACAGTTTCGTTTAACAAATAATGAATGATTTAACTGAAGAAATTATCGACAACATTATTACACTAATGAATGACTTGATAAATCGTTTAAAAAAAGTTTTTCAAAATTAATTTTTTTAATTCATTGACACAGTTTCTTAATGGAGTTTTTTTTTCTTTAATATTATCGTACCAAAAATATTTCTTTTATAATTTATTTAAATTATCCGTTCCTGAATTTAGCGTCCACGTAAGCGTCTCGACAAAGAATTTTTCAGCAAAAAAAAAAAAAATAAAAGTTTACTTTTTTCTATAAAATTACTTTACTTTTTTTTTTATACAATTATCATTTTTTTTTTTGCGAGTAGAAAGAATATTTCGAAAAAACCAGGTCTAGTTCTTTTTCTTCCTCGTGAAACTTAATTTTACTAACTACTTTTCTTTTTGAACAAAAAAAAAAAATTGTAAAAATATTCATGCTCACTACCCCGAATAAAAATTTTATCCATATAAAAATTAAAAATTTCTATAATCACTATTTTTCTAGGAACAAAAATAATAAAAAAGAAACTATAATAACTTTTTTTTTCTTTTGAACTTACCAGTTTCTGAACTAAACCCAGTCGATCCTATAAACAAAAATAAAAATAATAATTATTGCAAAATTTTATTTCCAAAAAAATTCACCTAATTCTAAACTAAACCTAAATAGATTTTTATGTTTAAATATTTAAATTTTCATAAAAATACGTATAAGGAAAATTTACTGATAAATTAGTAGAAATTACTATTTATTAGTAAAATAAATTGAATTTTCTAATTTAAAAGCAAAAAGTCAGTCAATAATTCAAATTAGTAAACATTTTTCAGTTTTACTAATTCAAATTTAGAGATAAACTGATATTTTTTATTTTTATAAATTAATAATTATTATTTTTGTAAATCAATCATTATTTTTTTAAATCAATAATTATTTTTATAAATCAATAATTATTTCTATAAATTAATTTCTATTTGTTTAAATTAATAATTATTACTTTCATAAACTCGAAATGTTACATATTCCTTTAAGAAAATTTTTTTCTTTAGACGATAAAAAATTCTAATCAACCGTTTACGTCTAAAAAGTCAGTAAAAAATTTTATTAAACAGGAACTCGAGAGCATACACATATGTATTTACAAAAATCATCCCTGAGAAGTAGAAATGTTTATATATTTCTTTCCCCCCGTGGCCCTTAAAACGGAAACGGAAGGAATTTTTAAGAGTTTCTTTATTTTCTTTCTGAAATTAAACGAAATAGCAGAGAAGGGGTTTTTCTCATTCAGCAGTAAAAGTCAAATATAATTGTTTCTTAGTCGCGACGATTATGTAAAATTTTTCTAAAAATAATTCCCTTTTTCTATTCCACATACCGAAAAAGAAAAAAAAACCATATAATCCTCCTCCTCTATGACACTCTTCGTACAAATTTCATTTTTTTTATTGCAAACTTTTTCGTAATGAACCAACTATATATATATAAAGGAAGGAAGGAAAAAAAACTAATGCTTCCGTTAGCAAGATTTTTTTATTACCTCATGAAATGAAATGAGATAATTTAACAGCAGGAAGCAAGATTCAAAAGGCCGAACAATTTATAAATTAGAAAGATCTATTTTAGTCTCGTTAATTTTGAATGAGAAAATTTTGTTTAATTAAAACGTTTTAATTTTTCAAAAAAAAACTATTTTTGCACTTAGTACCCAGTCTTTTGTTTTCTATTATCAACAATATTTTCTCAAAATATTTCAATTGTTTCTTAGTCGCTTTATTTTTTAGAGAAAATATATTATCGATAATAAATTTTACTCCTAACTTACAAATAATTTTTTTTTCTTTAAATATCTAAACATTTTTCGAAAGCAAAGCATTAAAAATAATTCGAATCGAATAAATTACTGCGATCTTTGTACAATTGTAAAGCGAAAAAAAACGGTAAAAATATATGGAATAAATGAAAAAAAATTCCAAATTATGAAAAAAAATAAAAATGTTGATAAAATTTAAAAAAACACTTAAATGTCACGTGTCGTATAAAAATACACACGGACAGTAAAGTTTCGTGTGTGGAAAGTTTATTTATCAAAAAAAAAAAAAAAAAAAAAAAGTAGAGAAAGAAGGGCTAAGATGGCTTACCAGGGGAAAAAAATTGGTGGGAAAACGAAATGACAAAGTCGTATAGTGGGGTCAATGTCGATTTCGAGCAACACGTGCAGACTCGTAAGCGCGACCTTGAAGGTCAGTTCGATGACTTTTGTATGTCTCTCTTACTCTCTCTCACATCCTCCCTCTTCGAAAACTAAACGCGAAAAGTGCGTCGCTACCGATCGAACGAGGCTTTTTTTCCCTCGTTTGGATTTTTAGGGGCGTCGCGACGCCCTTCGCCCGCAATGATATCGAACGCCTTTCTTCAACACAAGCAAAACCACAAATTTTTCAAAACTTGCCATTTTTTTTCCAAACTTTTTTACTCATTAATTTTCATTAATTTTTATGAGTAAAAAAAGTAAAATTATTAATAATTAATAATGAATAATTATTATTAATAATTAATAATTATTATTAATAATTATTGACAATTATTTACCGTATAATTAAACAATTTATCACATTTTAATATGGCTTATACTTATACCTATAACTTTTTTCAACTTATCCCCAAATTAAAGTCAATCATCAACGAAAAAAAATTCTTATCACCAACTATTTAAATTTAATCTCACTCCCGATTTAAACTCATGTTACAAAAAAGCGAAAGCAATTAAAAGTTAAAAAAAAGAGAAATTACGATAACAAATATATCTTGCATTAAAAAAAATTTAGATTTTCTCAAACTTTTAGGCAACATAATTTATGATAAGTTCCTATCTCAAGAGAGAGGGGTCATTGGTAGCAAAAATATCTCGAGTTCATGGTTTAAGTTTAATCAAAAACTGCTAGAGATTATTTTGGGTGTGTGATTTTATTTCAAGTGACACGTAAGAGGAAAAAAAAAGAGAGAGCAACAGAGAGAGAGAGAGAGAGAGAGAGACTTTAATCAAGAAATGGAACTTTTTCGATTAGACTTCTGTCGGACGGATTTTGAAATGGATATACAAGTGATTGTATAAACCGCAGCAACTACTCAATCAACTGAATCGAGGAAAACTATTTCCGATAGGAAATCTGTCTGACAGCTCCACTCTGTAAATGAAGTTGTAACTTTTATTTTTAAATTTACTATGATGTACTGGAAGAGAATTGTGGTACTCAAAATTATTTTCCTATTAATGCTGATTTTATTGTTGGCTGCGAGAAATTATAATTCGAATCGGAATTACAATTAGGAGCAGAATTATAATCAGGAGGAAAATTACAATCAGGAACAGAATCCGAACCAGGAGTAGAATCACAACCAAAAGCAGAATCACAACCAAAAGTAGAATCATAACCAGGAACAAAATTACAATCAGGAACAGAATCATAACCAGGAGCAAAATTACAACCAAGAACTGAATTTTAATCAGGAACAGAATCATAACCAGGAGCAGAATCACAACCAGAAGCAGAATCAGAACTAGAATTATAATCAGAAGCAGCATCATAACCAGGAGCAGAATAAAAATTAGGAACAGATTTTTAATTAGGAACAGAATCATAACCCATAGGAGCAGAATCACAACCAGAAGTAGAATCAGAACCAGGAGCATAATTACAATCAGTAACAGAATCATAACCAGGAGCAGAATTACAATCAGAAACAGAATCATAACCAGAAACAAAAATCGATTCCTCCGAGAAAATTAAAAAATCAGTCTGGAAACAACAGTTTCCAGATTGATTTTTTAATTTTCCCGGAGAGAAATGAACGAAAAAGTATGAAGGAAACTATTCTTCTGTGTATATATATAAGCTAGCAAAAGGATCAACAACAAGGAAGTTTAAATGTCACAATGAGAAAAGAGGAGAGAAAACTTGTCAGTATCATAGATCCAAAGAAGGAAAGCGGGGGATGACTGCGTTTTAGTTTGAGTCATACAAACACGTGACGGCACGTCGTCTCTTCCTGGTCGTTCATTTCTCCATACGGTCTTAGACGGTAAATTCTATAAAGCCCACACGGTTCCAACGCCTCCCCCTTTGTCTCAGAAACCCAATCCAGTTACGAAAGTGGGTACAACGTTGTTGTTAGCGGCCTACAACTTTTCACCACAGCACAGCTGAGAAAGAGAGAATATTGCACACACTACTGTAGGAGAGAAAAAAATGCCATCAACCCACACAACTTAACGCGCAAAAAAAAAACCACCTCTCTTTCTCTCTATCACAAACACCTACACAACACACCATTCAGGTGCACTCAACTGCGACATCTTTTCAATCGCGATCCACTAAAATTTCCCTCATTGAAAAACATCACAGTTCTCTCTTCTTTCGAACGTTTTTCTCTCTTCTCTCGAACGTTTTTCTCTCTTTAAAGAGAGAAATGTTTCGTTCATCTCTTCTCTCTTTAAAGACATCTCTTCTTTTCCTCTAAAATGAGAAGAAGAAAGAGAGAGAAATTGACTCACGCGGAGAAAATACCACCGTCAGTCGGACCATACCGATATCGAAATAGAGCAACAGAGCAGAAATGCAACAAGAAAGGCAAAAAGGTTTATAAAAGACCTACGAGAAGTGTCAAGCGATAGGAGTCCAAAGAGGAGAAAATAAAACCGGACTCTAATTTTAAACCCACATTCAAAAATCGGATATAATTCCTTTTCTCGATCCCAAGGATCGAAACGAACAGAAAAGCTTCCACTTCTTAACTTGCTTTCAGGGAAAAAATTAGCATCAACAAAATTTTCTCCTAGAGCAACACTTCTAATTACAATACCAAAATTCCACAACCTTATTTTGTTTTGACAAAGAAAACACAAAATTTGATTTTGATATCGAATTTTTGTCGCGTATGCTTGACCAAAAAGAGCGGGAATGATGAGACCAAATGCCAAAAAGAAGAAACTATAAAGCCGATCGACATTCCAAAACAAGATACTTTTTTTTTCTCTCTCATGTGTGTGTGTGTATGTCAGCATGAAACATTTCAGCGCTTGGAATTCTGATTCCTAGATCAAACGTTCGTATGCGCCCTCGTTCGTTGAACTGGGGCACAACCCATGCAATTTTGCGATCGTTTTTCCCTACTTTCACGTCAGTCATTTATCATCCCGTTTGAAGGACACAAAACAAAATTGGTTTCGGCCCAAAATTTTATGTGAATTCTATCTCGTCATATTTTGCAACTTCACATTCCAGAGATGCATCCAAAAATACAATGGCTGATGAAAATATATGGGTCGTTCTATTAATGTAGTGTCTAAATATGAATTCGTCACATTTGACTTTCGGGGAGATTCGTGTTAATTAAGGGAATTAACAAACTATTTCGTTTAGCAAACAATTAGTAGTTTGCTAACAAATCGTAAATACTACAATTAGTAATTTTTTGACCTTATACCAATCAGTAATATTAGTACATCTTGACCAAGAATCAATCGAAAAGGTTACGACCGCTTAGACACAATTCCATTAGTCGAATTCAAATTTACAGACTAATATAATC